ATTGTGATCTTGGTGTTGGGAGAAAAGAGGAGAGGGGTGATGAGGAGAGGAAAGGAGAGGAGATGAGGAGGGAGGAGAGGAGAGGAGAGAGGAGAGGGGAGGAGAGAGGAGAGGGGAGGAGACGGGAGGAGAGGAGAGGAGAGGAGTGATGAGAAAAGATGAGGAGAGGAGAGAGGAGATGAGTGATGAGAAGAGATGAGGAGAAAAGGGAAAGAAGGTTCTTGGAATAGAAAGGAATAGATAGGTTTTCGGTACGAGCATATATATATAGTACGAGTATACATAGTATATAGAACTTTTATACAAATTTGATTTAATTTAATTTAAATTGATTTGGTTTCGATAAGAATCTATCTCATATACTTATATACTTATATACTTATATACTCATTTATATATTACTAATTACAATACAGTACTAAATAAAAAGTTTATCAAAACCACTAATAATATCAATATCAATACTAGTATCAATATAAAATCGAAAATCCAATCGACTTGTAAATTAAGTCTACTACTCTACTTTCGGACCACCTCCTCTTTCGGACTAATTTTTCATATCAAAAACAATTATTTTCGACTTTTATAACTTTTTCAATAATCAATAATCAATATAAATAATTAAAAATAATTTGTTAATTTTATTAAAATATTTGATATTCAAAGATTATAAAAATATCTTTTTATTTTATATATTTAAACTTTTATTAACAATAATTGTTTTTTTTATATAAGTTTTTTGATTGAAATATCTAATATTTTGAATAAAAGATTGACTATAAAATTTTATTGGAAATAAATTAGTTTTCTATATATTTATAGATCTAAATATTATTCAAGTATTTGAAATATATTTTTACTTATTTTAATTGATTAATTATTAGAACTTTTTGAATATTTATTATTTTGTATATGATTTGTAAATAAAATTAAATTCTTGAATCTTGAATCTTTATAATTTTTTATGTAAAATTATTAAAAATCTGAAAAATTGTAATCAAACTAATGATTATACAAAGAATCTATAATCAAAATTTCAGATAATTATATCTATT